TTAATAACTTTCACCTGGAGTTACGAATGTCTCTTGCACCCATTGCCAACCTGAAAGTCTTGAAAGTCTTGAAAGTCTTGTTTTTTGTTTGTTAAGATATTTCGAAATATATCTTGAAGCTATTGAAGTACCTAAGTGAACAAGAGAATAAGAGACATTATCCCTTTTTCGTCTACCTTCCACCTCCTTCTCTCTTTGTTCTATAGCTTGTTTCTCCATCTCATCCTCATTACTATTTTCTTCCTCCACCTCACACTCATCACTATTTTCAAAATTCCACCTTGGATCTAAATCCATCTACCAAGAAAAAGAAAAACATTAGGGGACAAGATGAGCACAAAAAACCAATCTAATTATTTTTACAACTAATTTTAAAATGTAACTAATAATAATAATAATAATAATAATAATAATAGCATACTTTTTTATCTTTCTCTCAAGTTGAACAATAAATGGACTCTTGAACTCTTGGACGTAAATTGAATTTGGGAGAAGTGCATTAGGGTGTTGTGATTTAAATAGGGTATTGTGTTTTTATATATGTTTAGATTTTTTTTCATGTGATAGATAAATCTTTTCTTAAGACAGACTTTCATTTTTCATCTTTACAAGGCAATCTTTTCTAACGCATGCACTGAAACACAGCACATGGGTAGTGCATGCCTACTGTTCCTCATACTTTTATTTTTTCTAAAATGGGGTCAGTTACAGCACTCATAGCACTTAAATGGGGAACTGAGATTTCGCATCACGTGCATTCACGTAGCTACTTTTGAAATTCAAAAAAATAAATATAATTTTTATCAAATTTTTTATTTCTATATTTTGATTTTTATATTAAGAATATGAAAAATTAGATAAGTATAATTACATAATTAAGTAAAAATATATAATTATCAGTCTCAATTTTAAAAAAATTAAAATTTTAACTTTAAACGATATAAATTTATTTGATTAAAATTTAATATAAATTTAAAAAATTTATATTTGATGTTAATACATAAATTTAAAAATTAATTATATATTTTAAAATATATAATTAATTTTTAAATTTATATATCACTATTTAATAAAATAATTTTTAAATTTTAGATTAAATTTTATTTGAATAAAACAAGTTTTTTTTATCATAATTGCATAATAAGAAGACAACCCTCTCTCCTTTCTTATTTTACACCTCCTACATATTATATAATATAAACTTAGGTTTTCTTAGTCTTAAAAAAAAAAAACTATTAATGAATTGTTTAGATTATTAACAAATAAAACAAGTCATTTTCTATTAAATATTTAAGATATAATATGATTTTTAATTTTATATTATGTAATTGGGATTAAAAAGAGCTCACACGGGCATGCCTGCTGGAATTAATTTTTGCCCATAAGAGGGAACCAACAGAATTAAAAAGAGTTGGTTTGCAGGTAAATTGGTTCTCTTTTAGAATGGTACTCAATGAGACAAAGTTTTGTTTGTATTCTCTTTTAAAAAAATAAGATAGAACTCTTGTTGACATGTTATTACGTTATAACAAATAATGTAATTTGTTCATCATTGATTTGCCTAATAATCATTCTTTAAAAAATACTGTATTTAGGATATTGTTTGGGCAGCTTCACAATCCTACACTATAGATATCTTCAACTGCTTCAACACCTGAAAATCCCGAGAATGTTTCCTTAGAGAAAACACTCCGACGCTTAAGTTAGTAATACTTAATATTCTAGAGAGAGAAGCTCTCAAGGAGTAATTGTAGAGAGAGAAGCGTAGTGGAGTTAATACCTGAGTGGAGGTAGTTGTGGGGTATTTATAGCCCCATGTGCTAACATGAGTCCATACGTGTAAGCATCCGATTGGTTCACATGTTATTACCCACATGGATATGCCTGTACTAGTGTATGGATGTCTCTTCATTTTAGGCTTATGGATGTACGACTAGGCCTGTTTTACAAGGTCTAGATTGAATGTTGGGTCCATTCCCAACATTACTCCCCCCTTAGTGTTCGGTCGACGAACTGGGTTGAATGCTCCCGTGGTCCAACGTTCGACCTGGAGAATAAGGCATAACCATTTTTGGATTTTATGGACGACCTTGTCAATGGCCGAACTAAAAGATTATGGCATAGGGTACACACCCAAACGCTGAGGTTTGACTTACAAGAATTGTGATGTATCCGAGTTGAACCCTAGATGAGGAATCCGTTAATGAAAAGGTCATACTCGGGTGACCTGAACTCAGGGCGACCTCATTAAGCATCTATGGGTAGATCGAATTCCTGTTTGAGTGTGCGTGAGCAAGCTGATACCAAATCAACCTTATTCATGTGAATTCGGTGTACATCAATGAGCTCAATGAGCTTACAAAGGCGAGCTAGTATGATGAATTTCCAACTTTCAAATGGAGTAGATCTAGGAAGAGGTGAGATCTCTTAGTAAGGCATGTGTCATATGCGAGGTGTTACGTGTTATGTTATGAGCTCGTTTACACTGACATGAAAACGAGCAAACGCATGACGATCTAAACCACGACAACCTTTCGAAAATCCTAGAACAAAGTATTGAGGTCGTCACGTAATTACCATAATAAGTTAAAGTAAACTGATCTCGACCTTGTCATGATCTGAGGCCTCTGAAGGGATGTTAATCTTGTTACGATCTGAGATCTCCAAAGAGATGTTAATCTTGTTACAATCTGAGATCTCTGAAGAGATGTGGTTATGAAGCTAGGCTAAAATGCTAAAATCTCAACCTTCGGCATTTTTCCAAAACTTAAAACAAAGCAAATCATAATTCATAATGGAACAAATCTCTGAAGAGATACGGTTTAGAGTGTTTGATATTGTTCTGCCTTCGGATATCCCTCTGCCTTCCCCACAATAAATGCTGGCTCAGCATTTGAGGGAACATGACAGCTACAGGCAACGGGTTTTACGCACTCAATCGTAAATGGTTGCCACATGTAGGCATTTAACTAGCACGTTAGAAACATGCGTACGACATTTACGGGGGCGTGATTTGTTTGAGAGAGGCAATAGAAACAGTCACTTAACCATTTCTTTGTTTCATTTCACAATACTGTTTGTCATTTTTAGCAACAAAGGTTACAAAAGTGTTTCAGGCGTATTCCTCAAAACTCTAAACGCGAAAGAACACTAGATTTCCAACATCCAGGTAAAAATGGATTCCTTTCAAGATCTAAGAGAGCTTCGGGGTAACCAGGGGAGGGAAGAAGAGAGTGTTATATCGATGGAACCAATTATGATGATAGTGCCGTCGAAATTGTAGGATTTGCCCAAAACCATCACACCAGAGAGTAGCGCTGGTTTGAGCGCAGGTGGTGATTTCGGCAACCACCGTTCTTCAACCTCTAAAGATTCATCTTTAGAGAGGACACCCAGTGATATGGGGGATGCTGGAGAAGGTACCATCAGTCCGTCGGCGACAAGTACGGAGGCAAATGTTGTTGCGTTTGAAGAATGGGAGAATAAGGTTATTAGTAGGAGATTGGACAATCTCCATAAAGCACCAAAACTCTTTTGGCCAGTTTTAGGTTTAGGGCAGCGCTACATCATGATGTGGCAGATGGTTCGGCCACAGTCAAAGGGTGTAAAAAGTTAGAGGAAATGGTGAGACAATATCATATTCCAAGGGTGATTTTAATCCAAGCTGGTTCCCAAAATGAGAGGGAGTGTATAGTGCCGAGAACGGGTTGGATACCAGTGTACGTAGATCACTTTGATGCCGACCTGCGCTTGCCCCTAGCAAGGCTGATTTTTGACTTGTTGGCAGAGTACGAGTTGGCACTAACACAGTTAACGCCAAACAACATCAAATTTATTATGGGATTTATACTGTTGTGCACAAAGTTAGGAATACTAGCTAAAGCACCAATATTCAGGTCACTATTCTTATGCCGGCTCAGTAGTGCCCAGACAAGGTGGTATTACATTTCTGGAAGAAAGAAGATGATAATTTTTACAAACATGCGAAATAAAATCGCCAAATGAAAAAGGTGTTTCATTTTTGTACGAGACACACGGATAGAGAGGATTAATAACGAGTTGGCAGCTCGTCTCTCTAAGTGGCGCGTAGGGCACACGTATATGAACTACCCCACGTTGGTGCCAAGGGATGTAGATTTAAGGAATAAGCTGCTAGAGTATGTCGGGGAGGAAGGATTAGTAAACTTGGAGGCCCTGGTTGCCCTTGAGTAGCTTGCCCTATTTGGGTTTGTCGATGTGGCAAACCCATATGTTGAAGGTATATTTCTATTACATATTGTAATTTCTAGCCGATTTGAGTCTTATGCATTTGTTTGTGTAGGAGAAATGAGCAGCATGCTGGAGAGGTAATGTTAGCAAGCTCAAAGCTCGAGAAACCGCAGGGCTGGGTCTGGTTCTCAAAAGCAAACTCGTTTTGAAGAGTGGCGGCCTGTGGCACCAGGGCACAGTTCGTCCCATAGAAGTTCAAGCTTGGCATCGAGACCCCATGCCAAGCAAAGAGTTGAAATTATGCCCTTGAGCTCAAGAAGGTGTGTTTGTGCTGATTCCGACGCTGAGGATGACTTGCCACTCATCCAGTAGAGAACGAGCTCAGGGGCTTAGGCCATTTAGTTTGCTGCAGTTCGCTCTTCTAACGTGCCACCTACGTTGGCACGCGATGTTGTTGAGCCCTTGGACGCATCCACATCTGTAGTGGGGCCTAAGATTGCATACCCTGAGGGCTTCAGCTAGCTCAAAGCTGATTGCCAAGTTGCCATTGTGCAAGGTATGCAAAATTTTGTTCTCTCTGTAGATCGACAGTGTGCAAAGAGGCACGTTCAGCAGCATGGGGGCCATGCTACTATGTTGAAACTGATGGACATAAGTATTCTCACTAAGTGTTTATATTATTACACTTTTTCAAGTTTATGTTAGAAATTAACAATTGAATTTATATGGCAGGCCTTCAGCTATGTGGTCACACTTTTTGAGTGCGAACAAGGGGCTCGTGCGCAACTCATGAGCTCAATGACAGTTCCAAACAGTTGACTTCTGAGAAGGTGAGCTTGGTAGATGAGGTCAACTGATTGAAAAGCTTCGAGATGGCCAATTAAGCTATGTCAGTTGCAAGCCGAGCTTATGAGTTGGCCAACAAAATGAACGAGTTAAAGGAAGAGCTGGAGAAAGCTCAGGCTAAGAGGGATAGCGGCATCCAAGCTGCCAAGGATGAGGCCGACTGTGCTAAAGACCGTGCCAAAAGAGCTAAAGCTGACAGCGACAAGGCTTTTTACGAGCTGAACTCCTTGAAGGAGAGGGTGGCCGAAGCCAACTGAAACGTTGCTTGAGCTAAGGTGTCCCTTGAAAGAGTCAAGAAGTCTCACTAGCGCTCTGTCTGTATTGCCCAAGCACAAGGGGCATAGTGGTTGGTTGGAGCTAATATGTTCCAAGACACCGTGGCAATCGCCTCAGCAAATACCACCACAGAGATTTACAACAAAATTTATGGGAAGGTATTACGGCACCGAGCTCACTTCCCAATCGGCGAGCTAGCCTTCTTCGAGGGAGAGGAAATGGACGAGCAAGGTAAAAGTCTCGCTCCTCTTGTTGATGCCATGGTGAGGTTGAGGTGGGAGCTTAATGAAGAAGGAGTGCCAGTGCGGCCTCTATCTGTTGTGGAAGAAGGGGAGGACACTGAGGGTTTGCCAAGCTTCAATGCTTAGGTGGCAGAGCCCCTTGAAGCAGAGGCAGAACCATTAAGCACTCCCTCATCCTCTTAGCCTACTACCACTCTAGCTCTTCCCTCGCCAGCTCATTCTACTCCAACTCAACTATTTCCTGCTCATGCTATTATTGCACCCATTGACACATCCATTCTCGTTGATATGACAGATGATTAGCTTATTTCTTTCTTTTGTATTTTTTTGTATTGGTCACTTGACCCATTAGAACATTGTAATGATTGTCCATTGCATTTACGTGTATATTTTTTGGAAAGAAATACAAAATGGACAACATTAGATGAAGTTTTTGTATTCAGTCATTTTTCTATACACTTTACATCTTCTGAGTATGTTTAATCATAGTACAAACTAACTATAATATCTCTTGAGATTGTGTATGTTCCAAGTAAATGGTAATTGATGACCTTGTGAATCTGCTAATAAGTAAGACCCAGGTTGTTTAACTTGAATTACCATATAAGGACCTTCCCAATTAGGAGCGAGCTTATCCATGTGCGAATAAGCGTTAGTGAACCCAACTTTGCGTAAAACCAAGTCGCCAACCTGAAATTGTCGAGCACGAACCCTTTTATTGTAAAATCTAGCAACACAACTCTGATAGGCCACATTTTTCATCTGAGACATTTCCCTAACCTCCTCAACAAGGTCTAGGTTTTCTCTCAGGAGTTGCTCATTATTAGAATCATTATGCCGAGCTGACCCATTGGATGACAAGCCAATCTGCACTGGGATTATGGCCTCAGCTCCATAGGCAAGGCAAAATGGGGTTTCGTCGGTGGCCGAGCTGGGCGTAGTGCGACACGACCATAACACTTTATTGAGCTCGTTAACCCAATTAGAATGCGTTGCTAGGACATGTGTCTTAAGGAACCTAATGTTTGGATAGATGGATAACTCATGGAACAATGCAAAGTGCAATGTTTTCCTTGTGAAGTGGGATTTATCTCTTTTAGGTTCATTTTGTGGGTTAATATGGCCTGATAGCCATAATGTTGCTGTTGTATTAGGTCATGAAATGCTTCTTGTTAACTTTATAGAAGTTGCAATTGTTGACTTTATGAAAGTCAATAATTCTTGACTTATGGAAGTTAGCAGTTGAAAAAGCCTCATCGTATAAGATCCATTAGGAAACCACATGTAATGGACTTAGATAAAACTTAACCCTAGGGTGGCTAGCCTAGTAAACCACCTTCAAAATCTAAGAACCTTATACATATGACACTTTGGGCCTATTTGGTACAACGGTTAAAATTTAGC